GTTGAGACTGTGAAAAATAGGTGGGATGGGGTGAGCATATGTTAAGGGGTTTTTGGCAGTTTCTCACCATCCTACTTTCTTTTTTGCTGGCAATAGGATAAATGATTCTTCCCCAAGTCGAGTCTGTTTTACCCATGATGGTAACTGGTAACAATGTCTCTGTGTTTATCCCCACCCGTGATCTTTTTCACCTCTCTTTCTCCTCCTGCCCTGTTGGGCAAGGAGAGGGAGAAAGCAGCAGGGTGGGTCTCGGAGACAGCCAAGGTCCTTTTGGCTCTGCACCAATTATGGCAATTAACTGTGCCATGAGTGTCTGTCTTGCATAGGTTTTCTTCCTGCTTTCTCTCTTTGCCACTGGCAGCAGCCTCTTTCTCCCTCTGTTGTTCCCCCCAGAGGATGGTGGGCAATGATGTCAGTTGGCCTTTGTGCTTGCCTGCCTGGGAACGAGGTGCAGGTTCACAGCCATGGGCAGAGCACAGCCCAGCAATGCTCTTGACACAGCCTCACATGAACAGGGAAAACCCAAAAGGCCACATTACCATGGCAGGATTTGTCAGACACTCAACTGCGTCCTCTTGCAGGCCCATGTTCATAACCCTTTTGCCACGAGGTGGCTGTGTGCTGGGAGCTGGGGATGTCCAGTCTCAAGAGGCCTCTGTCCTGCACATCTGTGCGAAGAACCACTGGGGCTGCGCGGGGCACTCTATGGGGGTGATGGAGGAATGGATGGAAAGACTTGGCCTTGCTGTCCTTGCCCTTGGATGCACAGCATGTCCGTTCCTTCTGGAGATGGGTGGGAAGGCGAGGAGGAGAAGGTGGATCTTCCGGGCTCTAGCCAAGGGCATTTCTCCTACCGTCCCCTCCTTGCATCCTCGCTGCCCTCTTCTGTCTGAGCCTTCTCCCCTGGCACAGCTCCATCTGCAGAGGAACTGTCTTGGGTGCCTGTGGGGCTGCTGACATGCCAGGGCCTCCTGCAACTCTGACATCCTCACACAAAGAGAGCTCAAGTTGGGATCACGCTCTGTAGGGCATGCTGGGAGACCAACAGGTATATTTCTGTCCTCCCAGCGCACTAGGAATGAGAAGGGTTCCACCAGTTCACACACTTGTTCCCTTCCAGAATACCTCTTTGCTCCCTGGACAGCATTCGAGAGCATCCAGAGAGGAAAGGACCACACGGAAAGAGAGGCTGGGATGCATCAGAGTTTAATTGAGTCCAAAGAGGAAATCAAGATGTCTCAAGAGGAGGCCAGAGGTAAAGGATCCCTATGGGCAGCCAAGAGCCAGTGCCACACAAAAGACTGTGGGTGGACAAGTAAGCTGTCTTTGGAGGGCTCAAGGCTGCAGGGAGCAGAAAACAACAGAGGAATAGGAGGGAAAGCACAGAGTGGAGGAAGGGAATGAGAGGCATTGGCCATGTTTTCAGAGAGCCCAGGCTGGCCCCTTCCACAGGGCTGACACCCTTTGCAGGAGGAGTGGGGCACGCTCAGCCCCTCTCCAAGCCATGGCCGCAGTCTCCGTCATTCAGTCTGCCATCATCTTCCGAGTTCACGGGGCTTCTCGTCTGGGCTGTCACCGGTGGCTTCAGCAGGGTCTGCATCTGCTGCCGCAGTAGCGGCTGGTGATGCAGGAGAGGTCAAAGCCCCCGGAGTTGATGGGCACTCCCTCACAGCTGAGGATGCTGCCGACGGCAGCGGAGGTGGAGGAGCCCACAACAGTGTTCTGCGGGAAGGAGCTGAGGATGGGGCCGGGCAGGGTCACCACCACGGCGGAGGGCTGGATGACCACGTTGGAGCTCTGGCACTGCCTGACACAGGGCTCATTGCAGCTGTTGGCCAGCGGGGTCGGGCCGCAGGGCTGGCAGGGCTGGCAGGGCGGGCAGGGCTCGCACGTTTGGCACTTCTCGGAACAGGACATGGCTCGGGGCTGGAGCTTCACCTGGGAGAGAGGGCAAGGAGGGAGCAGAGCTCAGGGACACCTGAGGAACAGCCTGCGACACCACCCAAGGGAGGACGAGGCACCTCTCGCATGGGGAGGTGAAGGCTGTGCAGGGGGAACAAGGGATCCTTTGCCTGAGCCCAGTGCGGACCTTCACATCACATCTTAGCACTAGTTTGTCAGCAAAGAGCCATCCCAGCCCACCCCCAGCCTCTCTGCACGACAGACCGTCTCTCCTCTGCCCTCTCCCACAACCACCATCCAGAGCACTAACGTAACACCAAGGAGCGGGTATCAGCTGGGATGTCCTTGCAGGCTGCACCCTGTCCCGTAGGAGGAGGTGGGTGAGAACGGGGGTTCCAGCTCACCTGGTTCCCAAGGAGAGGGAGGTGGCAGAAGAGCTTGACAGAGTGACCCCTTGGTCTGGCTTTTATACCGGCGCTACGCTGCCTCAGGCCCAAGGGCAGACACTGCACCGGCAGCAATTGTCCTGCATGCTCCTAATGAACGGAAACATCCCAGGTAATGACATGGGATGTGCTGCTGATTCCCTCTATGCTGCCGTTGCACTTCCTGGTTTATGTCATGCCCATTCCCTCAAAAATGCTTCTTTTGAGTACTGGGATGAGAGGTGCCATGATTTCTGGGGAAGCGTGCGTCAGTGTGGGCAAAAGACATGGACTAAGTGCCAGAGGGGTCCAGCGCAGGCCAGTGATGTCAGCCTGGGTTCACTCAGGAGGGTTTTGTATGAGCCTGCTGAGGGGAAGGGCCCCGGCTGCTCCCGGCCCTCCCATCTTTGGTTCTTCCCCAGGTGCTCCTGTGAGTAAGTGCCTTGTCCTCCTCTTCCCTTCTGTTACCTGAAGGGACATGGACAGGGCCACAGCGCTCAGGTGTCACTGAGGAGAACCCCGAACCCAGGCCAAGTTTTTTCATGCTGCCTCCAGGCAGCCTTGAAGGGGCTGAGCTGCTTCCCAGGGTCATCACTCCTGACTCACGTGAAAACTTCGAGGTTCCAGGGTTCTGCTGGCCCTGTGTGGATGGGAGACCCCTTTGCCATGACTGTCCTGTGTCCAGAGCCAGGAGCTATGGGAAAAGG